TCATGAGAAATTTCATATATGCTTGCTACTTTGTAAGATTACTATTGGAACAGCACTTTTCCAACCTGGACACCTATTAGAAACATTTGGAGAGTTGTTTTTTAAAGATGCTGGTGCCTGGGCCCCCTCCACGTGTTCTGATTTCATTGGTTTGGTGTGGGGCCCAGATATTGACATTTGTAGAGCTCTCTGGGTGGTTCCCACAGGGGCCAAGTGAGTGACTGACTTAGAAATGCAGGAGTTGTGCCCTGGAGTGATGGTGGAGTGTTTGGAGACCCTCCCTACTGGGGTGACCAGAACATGCACCTCCAAATTCTCTCCTCTCCTCCAGATAAACTCTCCTGGACTCCATCCTGCCTTGTTTGTCACTGATGTTAGCCTAGGCAGGCAAGGCCTGCTTTGACAGGAAGCGTGAACATGCCCCTGGGGCACCGACTTTGGCGAGCCACCTACTCAACCCAGGCTGATCTAGAAACAAGAGCTCATCATTCTCTCTTCTTCTCTGTCCCTCTGCCATCCTCGACCCACAGGGAGCGGCTGCCGGTCAACTTCTTTAAGTTTCAGTTCCGGAATGTGGAGTACAGCTCCGGGCGGAACAAGACCTTCCTGTGCTACGTGGTGGAAGCGCAGGGCAAGGGAGGCCAGGTGCAGGCCTCCCGCGGGTACCTGGAGGATGAGCACGCCGCCGCCCACGCCGAGGAGGCCTTCTTCAACACCATCCTGCCCACCTTCGACCCGGCCCTGCGCTACAACGTCACCTGGTATGTGTCCTCCAGCCCCTGCGCCGCCTGTGCCGACCGCATCATCCGGACCCTGGGCAAGACCAAGAACCTGCGCCTGCTCATCCTGGTGGGGCGCCTCTTCATGTGGGAGGAGCCCGAGGTCCAGGCCGCCCTGAGGAAGCTGAAGGAGGCCGGCTGCAGGCTGCGCATCATGAAGCCCCAGGACTTCGAATACGTCTGGCAGAATTTTGTGGAGCAAGAAGAGGGCGAGTCCAAGGCCTTTCAGCCCTGGGAGGACATTCAGGAGAACTTCCTGTACTACGAGGAGAAGCTGGCAGACATCCTGAAGTAGGCCACTGGGCCCAGCCTCACGTGAGTCATGGGGCCACTGCTGTGTCGGTAGCCCTTAACCTGGGTGGAGGGCCGGAGGGCAGGTGGAGTGAGTGGTCACGTTTGGTTTGACAACCCCACCCCCCCCCACCCCCCCACCCCCACCCCCGCAACAAACTGCACTTCTCTGCTTTTGGGTTGGGTGTAAAAACATTTTAGATCTCTTTCCCTATTCTTTCCTCTGAATTCCTCCCAAAACCCTTTTCACTTCTACCCTTTTATATCAAGCCAATGTTCCCCACACTCAAGGCTGACAGGAATCCAAAAGCTTTGGTGAGATACAGTGACTTGCCGTGGCCAGATCTGGATGGTGCAACAGCAGAGAGAATATCTCACTCCCCTAAGCATGTCCCCATGAACATGAGTCCAGCTCCAACTCTAGACACTTTGGGTGCCCTGCTCCCAATCCCATTTGCAATTTTACCTTTCTGGTGCCCTGTGATGGAAGTTTTTCATTCCTTCAGGGGCAATATTTTTCATTTTTGGTACTCTTGAAAGTCCCCAAATGGATTTGTATTCAACTTATTTATTGCCAGAGAAGCTTTCATGTTTTCAAACAAATGGTCCCGCTTTGAAGGAGACTGATAATTCGTGCATAACGCAGGAATGTATAATGCAGGAACATTTTCCTTGCTTTGAGAAGAACCTCTACAGCACTGATAGAAAAATGCTGAATTCAGGAATGGGACTATCACAGCAACAAGTTCTTTTGCGGAGGAACATTGAAAGGGTTAAAAAGATGTTTGTAAATTAGACAGCAGCTCAGAAGTAGCCTCCTACAGCCATCAAGATGAGATAGGAGAACTGGAAGTAAAGATTAGCTATTTAAGCAAATAATTAGGACACAATTAAGGCCAATTTGGCCTCTTGCTGAGGGTAAATTAGACTCTCACAGAAACAGGCCGATTACCCTCAGGAAAGAGGGTAAAAGATCCTTCACTAACTTTTTTTGAGTTTGGTCTGATTTAGTTGGTTCCTTCAGAAACGCTACAACCAAATCCCTTCACAAGGCCTGAGTTACTGATCAAAATCCTCCAGAATCGGAGAAAGGGTCTTTACCACCCTTTTCTCCAATTTCAATCCTGGAACAGTTCACATATTAATAAAACATAAAGCGGCACGCTTCCATGAAGTTATTCAATTTATTTTTGGTGTCTCACTCTTAATATTTTTAAGAGGTGACTCCATAGACACATTTTGGGAAATATCAATGTTCTGGAGCTTGATGTTGGCAGGTGTCTGCTATTAGACATGCATACAGGGTGCCTGATAATTCTCTGAGTGTTTGCCAATCTGAGAAGACACGATTTTCAGCCATTTCTTACAAAAAGCAGCCCATATTCAGTGAAGTTAGTGAGAAGATGGTCAGGTAATGCCATGCTGTAGTCTGCTCACATTAAAATAAGACACCACTCAGAGTGGTGGTGAGTAGTAGTAAAAACAGATTTCTAAGGGAAAATACAAAATTTGAAATTTAAAATTCTTTGAAGATTTTATTAGTGTAGATGCTATCACTGTAATTATAAACCCTATGTATACTCACTCTCCAGAATGATGACTGGTAGCTTAATTTTAACTATAGTATACTTTCTTCTTAAACACCTTTCAGAACCACAGGCCATTTCTTCCAGCTGCCTAACCAGTAAGTCCTCAGAGATGAGTGTGTGTGTGTGTGTGTGTGTGTGTGTGTGTGTGTGTGTGTGTGTGATGGTGTTGTTTTTCCATTAAGTCAAGTAATTACACAGCTAAATCTGCTATAAAAATTAAACATTTCAAGGAGGATTAAAAGGAGCTTTTAATTTTAGATAATTGAGGGTTGTATCTTATGCTAATCTAAACGGAAGTAAAATAGATAAATCAGTTTGAGGGAAAAGTCCATTTCCAAGTCAAATTATTTTTAAATAAAATATTATTGGACATGTTCCACATTATAAGCCTCCTTCCATTAGTGTACATAACTGTATTATCTGGACCCATTAACATGTTTCCAGGCACTCTATTTGAGTTACTCATGTTCCTGAAGGGAAAGGTTAAAATGTGCGAAGTTAAAAAAAAAAATTGGCATGAAATACAGTTGTAATCTAAAAACCCAAAAGAACAACTTTGCTTAATTAAAATACTAAGAAATGGGCATTTGTTAAAGGAAATTCCCTTATACTTCCTAATCCATCTTTTTTTTAAAAAAATGATAGAATAGGATTTAACCATATATTTAACTCAAGAGAGTTAAGGTAGAGATCTTCTGGGTTTTTCCCTGTGTGAACCACACCAAAACATGACCACAACATACCTAACATTGGGTAAAGCAGAAATCACAAGAGACTCCAGGGGAGAAATTCAGAGACTTGCTCAGAGGGCACACAGGAACCCTAGCTCAAAAAACTCTTCATTGTTTGGGGCCAGGAGAGCTCTCAGTAACATGCTTTCTGTTTTCTCACTAAGGTCTGCCTGCTGCCACCAGGAGACAGCAATGATATGTATGGCCATGTGGGACATGCCTGACTTCCTAATACCACTTGAGCTGGACAACATTGGACACCAACCAATCCTAGTGCACAGGTCCTCCAAGGACTCTAAATATACTGCTCATGCTGTAAATCATTTAAGCCATGACTCTCTCTAAGGCTGCTCTTGGGAAAGAGGAAAGTGAGTTGCAAGGAAAGAAATGGCAACCATATATGGACACCAGGGATCTGTGGGGCAGAAGAGTCTAATTATTCCCCCAATGGGCTGCTTAAGGGAAAGAGCCTCAGACCCAAGGTCTGTGCAGATCTTTAAAATATGTCCAGAAATGCATTTTATGTGAAGTTGGTTTTTTTAACAAAGAAAAATGGTAACATTAATAAAAGAAGTTGTGTGGTTTTTCTGTGAGGTTTTTTTTTTTAAGGAACTTGGACATTTAGAAGTTACTATGAACAGTGATCAAGTCCTAGGAATAGGGATGTTCCCAGGCTATGAGCCACATCATGACATTAGAAAGTGGAAGGGAGGCTTAACCCAGGGCTGGTATAGGCAACACAAGATACCAGCTCTCCCAGGCCAACTTACCACCCTGGTCTTGACCTTTATCAAGTATTTCCTTTTGAGAGTACTTATGAAAGCCTTTTCCCTTCTCTGAAGACAAGGAATATGGCAGAGGGTGAAACAAAGGGCAGGGGAAATCTTTTTATAAGGTATCTGTGTTCCCATTGCCGATTAATAAGCAATTAGCCACTTAATTTCAATATTTAGATGCACACCCTGTAAGATTAGTTATGTGGTACTTGATGGTGACAGCAGGATGGTGTCCAGTCTCCTTTCTTAAAAGGCTTGAATCCTATGTAGAAGCAAAATTTCACATACAAATTTCTGGGTGTTTGCCAAACTCTAACTAGGTTTCCAGGAATAATGTACTCATTCTGTCAGGCCATGCCTCCTCTTCCCAAGCTTCAAGTGTAATAAGTCATCAGAATTTGACCCCAAGACTATCTGCAAATGACAAAGCACTTTATCACATCCCTGCTGAGTCCCAGAATTCCACTTACAGCCAGTCCTCCCCAAGACTAGCCTTTGTTCAAAGAATCTTCAAGGCTCACAGTTCCATGAAAAAAAAAAAATAACCCTAATCCCTTTAAATGTAGAAGTCTACAAAACCAATGTTTTGAGCCAAGAGGAAAGATTTATTTGCATAGTTAAGCAAAGTACTTTGATTCTAAGTTTCCTCTTACCATCCCACTCTCATTTTCCATGTTGTGTATTCAGATATCCTTTTTCCCCTTCAGTTTTATCCTATGTGGACAGAAGCAAAGCTTCAAGAAAAGCCTTAGTCTAAGTTCAACAATGAACCTGGCCCTGCACCACCCCTACCCCAACATAAATTTGTGTTTCAGAGATACACAAATACTGAAGTACTTCTTGAAACTGCTGCCTCCTATCACACTGCAGTATGATAAGAACACGAGTCTAAAGTACAAAGATTATATTTAACCAGTGTTCTTCTAGTGTTTCAACAAGCCCCTTCTGAAACCCAGTTCTTTTTACAATAGGGAAAGCAGTTAAGTCCCCAGGACAGACCCAGAATTCACTCTAGCGAGGAAATCAAGAGGTCTGGCTAGTTTAAATTTTTATTTTTTTTTATTTTTTAATTTTTATTTATTTATGATAGTCACACAGAGAGAGAGAGAGACGGCAGAGTCACAGGCAGAGGGAGAAGCAGGCTCCATGCACCGGGAGCCCGATGTGGGATTCGATCCCGGGTCTCCAGGATTGCGCCCTGGGCCAAAGGCAGGCGCTAAACCGCTGCGCCACCCAGGGATCCCAACTTTTTATTTTTTTAAGTAGGCTCCACAACTAATGTGGAGCTTGAACTCAAGACCCCAATCTTAAGAGTCTCATGCTCTACCGACTGAGCCAGTGAGGGACCCATTTTAACTCTTAGGATCATAGTAATGGTAAAAAAGAATTCCACTAGTTTTCCCAATACCTTTGATATGAATCCAGGAACCTATTCTTACACTGTAAACACAGGATTGGATAAAGTGCTGCTCTCTTAACCTAAGAAGAGAAGGGGACTAACATGTACTGTTTTCCATCCCAGCTGACTGCATGATCACAATTCTCTGCAGCTTCATAGCACAAAGAAACCAAGCCATCTCCACACCCTAAACTACCAAACTAGAATTTTTGAAAGTCGCCCTTTTTCTTAGAAGATTCATAAGGATTTTGTTGAGAACCACTGATTTGACTCATTACTCTGCCCTAAGCAATTTAGCAGGCATTGAATGTACATTATGTCATTTGTCCCATGACTGAATTCAGACCCATTCAACTGTAGAAGCTATGTGGTGGACAGAAGAGAGGAAGAGTTGACCATGAGATCCTAAATTCCCAACTTTCCAGTAATGCTGACCCCACAGTTCTGGTCTGTTTTTCTTCCCACCCTGTTCTGCCCACTGGACCTTTTGTCTGACTCTTTCCAATTAAGTTACAGGTGAATCCTCCATTACCCAGGTCCAGAACAGATGTGTGCACAGAACCTCAATGGACCCCCAAGAAAAAGATATTTATTCTTCCTTTTCTCTCACCACAAATTTCTTATTAACAACGTTAAGACTTATTTTTGTAATTTAAACAAAACAAAACCCAGAATTCTCTCCTAGGATATGACATAGGGATAATATCAAACAGTCTCACAAATGACAAAAGATGAAAAACTACTTGAAATATTCATCCTTTCTGTAATTTCTCTTCAACAGCAGAGAAGTAGAATCAATGCTGCCACCTAGTGGCAAGCTGAACAAGTCAGGTAGTATCCTGGAGCAAAACTGGTCAGAGGCCCAATCAACTATCCGGTTTCCTTGCCTAATATGAGGCATTCTACTCGTTACTTTCCTGTCAAAAAAAATAAAAAAGGAAAGAAAGAAAAAGGAAAAAAAAAAAAAGAAAAAGAAAAAAGAAAAAAAATCACATCAACATTTTCCAAGCAATCCCTCCTCCAGAGTCCCAGTCTCATCATGAGAACACAGCAACCAAAGTCTGGCCTGTGACATAGACTACTTCACATGAAACTTTCTTTAGACTGTTTTAAGGTCAGTTCGCCCAGTGCTATGGTCCAGTAGGGATGACACAGGAGATCATGGACACATCCACAGTGTGCATCTGTTCACAGTGTGTACACAGTAACTCTGATGTCTGTTGCTTCAAACACTTCCTCAATCATTGCAGATACATTTTCCCATTGCAGACGATCAAGACCACATCCAATCCTGAAAAAGACAAAACAGCTCCACAGGTTGTGATGAAGGTACCAAGGAAATCACTTCTTCCCTCTTCCTTTAGGCTGCACCCACCCAAAGGATTAAGACAAATGATCTGACCCCACACCTATGGGCGGGAATTTCAAAGTAAATTCCTGTTGTGAATCACCTAGGTTGATGGCCCCAACATCCAATAGCTGTCACTTTTTTGCTAATAAGGTGCCACTTCTATTGTTTGAGGCTACCTTGAGAAAATTGGTGACTACAGTGACACGAGGGACTCACTATCCTTCTATATCTAATGGTAAAAACTAGCTGGGATTTTAAAAACACACTTTTGATAAGAGAATGTTAAGGAAAATAAAAAGAAAGAGGGACAAAGGACAGGATCTCTGCAAAAAGGAATTCAAAATGAAAAGCTTGGAATTGCCAAGCTGAATGCAGTTCACCAGTAAAAAACCTGAGTCAGTCCATAAAACTCTTCTGCGTGGCACTTTTTTTTTAAATTTCTTTTTATTGGAGTTCAATTTGTCAACATATAGCATAACACCCAGTGCTCATCCCATCAAGTGCCCCCCTCAGGTGTGGCACCTTTCTTCCAAGATGTTACTTTATTGATCCTCGATACCCCTAGGGAAAAAAGGCTTAAAATTGCTAATTTCATATAGTCTGATAATTAAGTCCCTTAAAAAATCGTGATGAGAACACACAACAATTTCTGATACAGAAGACAGAATACATTGAAGCCCAGGGTAAATGAAGCCCAGGGTAAACGAGGGATCTTGTAGTCACATTCCTAAGTAACTTGGGGCTTAGAACAAACCTGCATGCATGGTCAGTACGGACTCAAAACTGGACAGGAAGATTAATGACCCCAAGCCTAATTCCTAAAAAGAAAGTAAATACTGAACCCCTAACATCATTCCCTTAAGCTCTGAATAGCTAGGATCTAAGACAATGTACAAGGGACATATCCTCTGGCTACTACCCACTGACCACAAACAAGCATGCAGTTTGTTTGTTTATTTATTTATTTATTTATTTATTTATTTATTTATTTTCAAGCATGCAGTTTAAAAGGCAGTGATAATTTACAACTTTCTTTGCACCAGATTAACAGGTTCAGGACACCTTAAGTGGCCCAGAATATCACCACTGTTCAGTCTTGGTTCTTAGGCTTTTACTCCTTCAAGAACAGAGCCTCAGCCTCAGGCAGAAGACGCCCAGAATTTAACAAAGGTGACTGAGCAATATGTCGTCCCTAGAAAGTAGGCTGAAACTGGTGTGTTTTAATTATCCTGATTCATTCAATCCAGGTTAAGAAATGGGTTTAAGGTAGCCTAATGTCTGACCACTGGTTCACTGATGATTTTTTAAAGTTTTTAAATTTGTCACTTTCAAGCCTATATTTTGAGTTAAGCTTTCAAGTCAGACAGCAAATCCCACCAGCCAATTACAAGTCTTCATTCAGGGCCCTGGATTTCCTTGCCTGGGCATGGAGAGATCGGTGACTCCATTCTTCAGACAATGGGACTTCATGGCTTCTAAACTCTTCTGTAAGTTCTCATAAGTTGGCTTATGTGAAGCCCTTTTCTTTGTAATCTGAGTACAAAGAATGAATTCAAACTTCCATTAGTCCAAAATGATAGGCAAAGAAGAGCCATCACATTCTCCCAACATCCTAATAATTAAAGTAAGTATATTTTTATAGAAGAGTTCAGAGCAGGATGACAAATGTCAAACTGTGCTTTCCAGTTATAGGAGGGCCTCAGAAAAATCCACGAAAAGGGCCTGAGAAATCCTGCCTTTTCCCAAGAAGCCCAAAGTCCTTGTGCCACTTCCAAGAGATAAGCAATGTATCTACAACAAGGGAGAACCCATACCACCTGAAAACTTCCTGTTAAGTCTATTTAGAAACGATGCTTATTTGCTTTTTGTTTCCCTATAAAGAACAAAGAGAAACTGGTAGCGTTCCAAACAAGACTAGAAGCTACACTGACTTTAAGGAGAGCATCCAAAGGGCTTAGGACACGTCCCCACTCAGTGTGCTGTCCCACTCAGACGTATAGTGGGTTGGTTGTTATAAGTGACCCAGCACCATCACCAAGAAGCTACATTCCTTCTGCAGCCTGGAGACCATTCGGACAGTGAAAGAATCCCATACTGAGACAGAAGGCAGGGAAGGAGTTAAGTAATAGTAGGCACTGCATTCAGTAGGAAAGAATGAGAGAAAAACTCCTTTGGGCAACATGTCTTTTGAGATACTATTATTGCTATCTCACTATAATTAGGAAACAATTAAAGTATGAGGAACATCTCTAACTTTTCCAAGTCTTAGAACAGAGGTTTTCGGTGGCTGTCACAGTACTCTTTCCCGTGGAGCTGGGATGCAGCCTCATGTTCTTTTCTAACCCTTGTGCTCCATATAGCCACTACCACTTGATCCAAGTTATCGTGATATCACAAGTTTTTTGTCATCTTTAGCTGTCTAGAATGGACCACTATGATCGGCAAATGCAGTCCAGCCCACACGTTCACCAGTCCTTATGACTTAGTGGGAACTGACATAGTGAGAATTGACCCCCATCTTACCAAGTAATATATATATCGCCCATCTCTCTTCAGAACAGCCACTTCTCCAGATTTCTTTTCTAAGAAAAAGTTATTCAATAATAGAAAGGTGGGGGGGGGAGGGAATCAAAGCACCGATTTGCATTCTTCGATCTGAAAAAAGAAACTTTATAGATCTGAATTCACTTCAGAACTAAAAATAATTTTCAATTCTGAAGAAACACTGTAACACTTTGCTCCTTATCAGCCTTAGCTTCCAGCTTTCTCATTATTTTTTTTGCTTTGTTTTCCTCTTACCCCATCTTTTATCCTGACCATATTTTCAAATACATCCTTATTCACTTGAAAAACTTTAATGATTTTTTTTACATACAGTTATCATGCTAAGCATTGTGAAGAATATAACTGTAATAAAAGTTCCTAATCACTAAGGAGTTTTCAATGAAGAGGCAGTGTCATGTTTATAGAGAACTACAATAAAACAGTATGAAATTGTCTTAAAGGAATCATTAGGGCACACTGACCCAATAAACAACCGTTTCAGAAGCTCTACATGTGATTCTAACACAGACCTCTGGTCTAAAATCTCCGGTAGAAAGTGAAAGGAAGATATTTTGAAATGCCTCTTTGAACACTAAGTATAAAATGAGTAAACAGAGGATCTTGAATGTCGGGTTAATACCTGTAGACTTTGCTGAGCACCTTGGTTATTGAAGGTTTCAGAAAAGTGGAGTAATATCAAGAAAGTTTTAGGATAGAGGAAGAGATTAAAAACCTTTACAAGAATTCAAGTTTGGTGTGGTAAAGACCCAAACTAGAGGCCATTTTTGTAGAGGAATACCTTAATCTGAAGAGTTACAAGTACTCAGTGGTTAGGAACACCCCCCGCCCCCCTACCCCCCCACCCCCCGCCTCAGTATGTATATCCTGGTCTAATATTTAAAATATACCAGGAGTCCATGATGCTCTACACAAGGGACACTAATTGAGCTGTTTTTCAAAACTCACGTTGGTTTAACAGTTCCTGCACCCCTCCAAATTTCTTCTTGAAGAGGACAGCTATCCCAGCACCCATTCGACAATCCTCACTGATACAGTGGGCTAAAGAGTCTGTTTTGGGGCATGCAAAAAGGTCTCCTTTCACATAAGTGATCTAGAATGTGAAAAGGGAAAGAAGAGGTTTTATTTGATACAGAAAAACACTAAGCCTAGTTCTTTTATTTCCCTTTACTGCGTCCCCCACCTCTACCCCTCCTCGATTGAAAACCAGATCCACAGGGTCGCCTGGGTGGCTCCGGGGGTGATCCCAGGATCCTGGGATTGGGTCCCAGCCTTGGGCTCCCAAAGAGCCTGCCTCTCCCTCTGCCTGTGTCTCCGCCCCTCTCGGTGTCTCTCATGATCAAGTAAACAAAATCTTTAAAAGTCACAAATAAATAAAAAATAAAAATAAAAACCAGATCTGCAGAACTTAAGGGAGTCAACCACCACAAATTAAAAGAATGTGTAAAAGCAAAGTGATGGATGGGGTCTCTGCCCGGACTCTTTCAGCCTTTTTGAAGTAAAACAGCTGGAGAAGGTAGGGGAGAAAATATAAAAGAGAGAGTGAGAGACAATTCAATCATTGCTTTAATTAAAAAGTGCTTATGCTTTTGACCTCAATTACTCTGAATTTCTGTTCACCAATAAGTTAACAGTCGCTACGCACTCTGCTTCCTTCCGCATCTTCATGAGGGCTGCCGGCCATGATACGGAGTCGCTATTCCCAGAACTCAAGGGGTTTCTCCAGCTGGGAAGGGAAAAGGAAGGAACCATGCTCAGGCGGCCTCGATATACTGCATTCAAAGCGCCCTGAGCACCCATTTGGCTGGTGATGCCTTCCCGCACCCCTCGTCGCTGGGCCTCGGGGACGGGACGCGAAGCTCTTGCAGGAGCAAGGACCGAGCAGGGCGGCCGGCGGGGGCGGGGGTGGGGCAGGGGGGGCGGAGGGGGGGGAGGGGGGGGCAGGGGGGGCGGGGGCGGCCGGGCCCGCTCGCTTTCCGCGCCGTCGTCGGCCGAGAGGCGGTCCCCGCGAGGCGCCGCCTCCCCTCCCCGCTCCCGGGCGCGGGCGCGGCGGGCTTGGGGCAGTCTCCTACTTCCCCCGCTGGGTTTGGCCGGGAGGAGACAGGGAGGGGCTTGGCCACAGTCCCGCTGAGCGTCCCGGCCGGAGGGCGGGGGACGCGGGAAGCGGCCTCTCCGGGAAGGCGCAGGCGAAGGAGCCAAGCGAGGCCTGCCACCCTAGGGGTCCCGTGGGGAAGAGCGGGAAGGCTCGCTCGGAGCCTCAACGTACCGGGGTTACCCTTCGCCGGGTCAGGCAGGAGTCGGCCGTTGCGAGGTCCCGCCCCGCGGGGAAGGGCTCGGGATCCGGCCCTGGTAGGTGGGAAGCCGCGCACGGACCCCACACGCGGAGCCAATCCCGCCGCAGCCCTAAATTGCACGCACGTAAGATGGCCGCCCGCCGCGCGGGAGCGGGGCGGAAACAAGCCCCTCTAGCTGGCCCGCCGAGCCCGTACTCTTTGGTAATGGCCGCCGAACTTCCGGCGGCAAAATCCGTGGAGTGTCCCGCCGCCGCCCGGGCATGCGTAACGAGACAGCCCACCGCGAGTGGGGGAAGAACGGCGCTTGCGCGTTAGCCCCCGGCGGGGAGGGTGTCTCCAGCGACCGCAGCGAAAGGGGTGGGCAGTTGGCAAAGGTGCTAGTTGGCGCCTGCGTAGTGCTACGTCGAGGGCGGTGTTTGAGTTCAAGGATCTGGCGCTTCTCGAAGGCGCCTGCGTATTCCTCCCGCCCGCGGCGGTGTCAAATCAGAGGAGTGGGCGTGGCTTCGCGGCACGCCTGCGCGATGCTCCTCCAACAGGGGGTGGGGCGAGCCCGCTGCTGGGGTTAGGGGGCGTGGTCTCGGGGGCGCCTGCGCGGAGGCGGTTGGAGGGAGGCCCGATTCCCCTTTGTTCGGGTTCGCCATTTTGCGAGGCAGCGGCAGTGGCGGCGGCAGCGGCGGCTGGAGCCTCTGATTGGGTTTCGGGGTCCGGTACTGGAGCCAATCAGCGCGGGCAGCGAACCGGGGGAGCGAGGCACGGTGAGTGTGAGGAGCCAATATCCAGCGGCCCAGAGCCGGCCCCAGCGCCCCGATTGGCGGGTCTCGCTGACCACTCAGGAGAGGCCCAGGCGCCCGTCGAGCCCCGGGAGTCTCGCTGAGCCCAGCCGAGCGGGGCGGCCGGCGGGCCCGGCCCGGGGCCTGGGAGTGCCCCGGGCCACTCCCGGCCGGGGCCTGCAGGGGGCCGCCCCGCGCGGGGACGGCGCCCTCGGAGCGAGCAGCTCGGGGCCAGACTCTTGCAGGGGGCCTGTGCCGTTGGGGATGCGTCCGCTCTCTTCCGCTCTTCAGGCCCAGTTGTCGGGCCCCAGGCTCGGGGTTCGTGGGCCCGCCTGCCACCAGCGCCCCTCCGCCCAGGTCCACGCACGCCCGGGGCCTTGGTCTCCTCCAGATCGCCCCGGCCTCACACTCACACAAGTCCGTCCTGGCCCCCTCCGTGCTCTGGCCCTCGGGGCGGGCGACCTTCCGGGGGCCCCGCCATCCCTGGCTCCCCGAGAGCCGGGTCTGCTGGCCTGCCCCCCCCCCCCCCGCCCGCCCCGGCCCCGGGTCGCGAGTGAGGCCCGGGGAAGGTGCGCGCCGCGGCCACGGGGCCCTGGCCGCGGCGGGGAGCGGGAGAGGGGAGCGGGAGAGGGAGCGGGCCCGCCCCGCCGGCCCCGGGGTCGCGGGAGGGGGTCGGTTGGCGCGCCCACTCCCCGGCCCCGCCGCGCCCCTCCTCTCGGCACGCTCGGCCCGGGGCTCTGGCCCGGCGCCGTTACCACCCCCTTTTGGCTCGTCATTTCCTCTTCTCCCCGCCCCGCTCGCCCGGGAGAGAACCGCACACCTCCGTCTTGGAGTCCGACCAAGCGGTCTCCCTTTCTGGTCCCGGCCGTGCCGCCGGCCTGTCCTTTCGGTGCCTGCAACCCCTCACCCTTAGAAGATTGCCAGCCCTGCGCATTCCTTTTCCCGGAGGCTGCACACACAACTTGTTTCTCGTATTACTGGTTTTCTCCTTCGCTCCTCTTGCGAACTCTCCCTCCTTTGGGAATGCAGATTTCTTTCTCTCTTTCTTTTTTTCCCCCTTTCACTTTCATGTGTCACTTTGCACGTGTCAGGTTTGACCCATTAGTGCAGTCCACAGCCGTCTCTTGATTTATTTATTTTTTTTCCAGCATACTTTGTAACTCCCTGTTAATGTTTTCCAAGTAGGTGTTTATAGAGCGTTAACAATACTGTGGGGTTTTCTGTTAGGGTGAGACGAAATCTCCATTGACAGCCATGTCTCTAGCAGTTAGTATGTACCAAGCATCAATCTATATGCTGGGGAGGAAGCAGATAGAGGTCAGTAAGAACCTTGCCTGCCTGGTGGATTAACAAGTGGACAGCTAATTAATATTTAACAGTTAGTGCTATAATGAGGCCAAGTTCAGTTCTGTGAAGTACTGGTGTGTGAGCTCCTAACAGCCTCGGTGGAAGATTCGATGTTGCCACACTTTCCATTGGCCTTGAAGGACAGACAATAGGATTTTTTTCCGACAGGAAAGAATGGAAGAGCATTAGGCACAGAGAGAAGAGGAGGATGTGCAGAGACACCAAATTATGCTGTGTTTAAGGGGGAAGAATTTAGGCTGGAAAGACTAATTGGTAAAAGCACCTGTATATCTTGATAAGGAATTTTCAGAAGCAGTTATCTTTTGGAGGTTCAGATGGAAGAAATCTCAAAGTGTATTTTTTTCCAGGGTTGGGAAAAAAAAAAGTTTCTGACCTGTGGGCTTCTGCTCCACAACAGCAGCTGACTTTGGGGGAAGAAAGAAAGATTTTTCTCCTAGGACTTTAAAAGCTTTTATTCCTGTGAAGCACCTACCATAGTCTTGGCCGGTAGAGTAGGTCTTAAGTATATGGTGCCTTTTTATGATCACATTTAAGGTCATTAAAAAAAAAAAAAAAAAACTAATAAGTTTCAGAAAACTCTTCCTGGTCCAGTGCTCTCTCCACTAGTAAAACTTCAGGCACAGCTTTTTTTGTTGTTTTCACTTTTTAGAACATGTTTCTTATTGTTTAAATCATATTCTTAAGTTCATTTAAATATTATCCACATTAGTTAGATGGGACAGCAAGTCTGAGGTATTTTTTAGAACATATTTATTTTCCAAATATTGTTTTACCTTGGTATGTAAAAATGGATATATCTAGCCTCTTTAAAACCACCAGGCGTTTTCATTAGACTTTTTTTTTCCTAAAAGGCAATAACAAATTACAGTCTGGTTGTTGTTACGCTAAACATCTGTAGAGCATCCACCTGTCTGCAGAAGAACTTCCCCTGGAATTTTAAGAGATCATATTCTGGCCTCTAGTTCTCTCTTGACATGGGGCTTTCTTTTTTTTTTTTTTTTTTATGATTTTATTTATTCATGAGAGACACAGAGAGAGGGAGAGACAGAGACACAGGCCGAGGGAGAAGCAGGCTCCACGCAGAGAGCCTGATGTGGGACTCGATCCCGGGACCCAGGGATCACACCCTGAGCAAAGCAGACGCTCAACCGCTGAGCCACCCAGGCGTCCCAGACATAGGGCTTTCTAGCCCGCTGTTCATATCCTGAAATTTCTCTGTCCTTGATTTTACGCTCTCTTCGTTTAGAGTACTCCACCCCCTCTGACACCATCACGTGCTAAATCCTTCTCACTTTGGATCAAGTCAGATGCCACATTTTCCTAAAGCCTTCTTTGACTTACCTATCTCACAGTGGAAGAAATGGTTTTTTCTCCCTATTACTGTTTTACCTTCTCAGAGTTCCAGTACAGATTTTTACTTCTTTACCAAACTTAAAGACTCTGACATTAGGATTTTCATCAGAGTTTTCTTTTTATTTCTGAAACTTTAAGGATGATGTCTGGCAGATGGTGCATCATTAGTGGAGACAAGGAGCAAATTAGGAACTCCAATCCAGAAATCCCTCAGACAGCAGGGAAGCTGGACAGTCCTTTGTTCTCTGGTCTTTTATCAAACACAGATTAGGACCCATTTGTTGAGTTGTGAATTTTAATGTAGTGGGTAATGCTGCTCTTTTTTTTTTTTTTTGTAATACAATAGGAAATATCAATGTGCATCCTGTGTTACATAAAGATATACATTCTTGGAAATTTTGTTTCAGTTACTTTTTTTTTCTATGTACCAGTTGCAGTAATCTGTGATACAAAATGTGTATCTTCCTGAGAATTGTGGTCAAAACAATTTGAAGGCACTGTTGTAGTCTTTACCTGGTAGTGATTGTTAAATATAGTAATTTCGAGGAGCTTTTCACATCCTTATCATTGAGCTTTCGGAAGTTTTAGTTTTAAAATGTGTAGGGCCACATAGAATGAGTTCCCAGTAGTCAGTTATGTTTAGCTTGCACTTTCAGGTGGGGAGGAAGAAGATTTTCATGCTAGCCAAAATATACACATAATCACTCTTTGAGGAAGAAACACCCAAAACTGTGTTAGGCTCAAGAGCTAGGCTGAATAAATCCAGCTGGCTTAATTTTGTTCAAATGTTGGACAGAAAAGCACTGGAGGGAAGACAATACCACATTGTATTGCAGTTTTGGCAACTGAGGTTCAAGGTAGTAGGAGCACATGGCTTCAGTGAAGCCAGTTGGGTACATAACTCACCATCAGTAGTCTCAAATCATGTTGCAACCTAGTCCCTAATTGATGTGAGAGATAATTGTTATTAGGTGGAGAAGTGTTTCCTTTTTTACCCTTCAGAGTACCGTGGATTGAAATATTTTTAAATTGGAGCATTTGTATTACCGGTGTAAACTAGTTAAGAGGAAAATCTGTAGGACATTCTGTTTATTACTCTCTCACGTCCTTCATAAAATAAATTTCTGGAAATTAGTGACCAAGGAAAAAAATCTCATACAGAGAGGGGATTTTGGTGAGGGAATGGTAGTGTTGAAAGGATATTCTTTCATGATCCTAATGTTTAAAATCAACTTTATTGAGTTACAGTTTAGACACAAAGGGTAATCATTTTAAGTATACATTTTAGTTAGACAAGTTTCTACATCTGTGTGACCATCATCACAATAAAAATGCATATAAAACATTTTCATAACCCCAGAAAGTTCCAGATGCTCTATCCCAATTAGCTTCCCACCCCCACCCCACCTTTCCAGTCCCAGGAAACCACTGACCTGCTTTCTGTCTCTAGATTATTATGGCCTTTTGAGGGTTTCATATAAATGGAATCACTTATGCTCTTTTGAATTGTGATCCTGAATTCTTTCATTTTATTGTTTTTTTTTTTTCTTTATTTATTTATGATAGTCAGAGAGAGAGAGGCAGAGAGGCAGAGACACAGACAGAGGGAGAAGCAGGCTCCGTGCCCCGGGAACCCGACGCGGGACTCGATCCCGGGTCTCCAGGATCGAGCCCTGGGCCAAAGGCAGGCGCCAAACCACTGCGCCACCCAAGGATCCCCCATTTTATTGGTTTTTAAACATATATTGTGTTGCAGTTAGAAACAAGATAGTTTAGGGAAGAACATTTACTTCCCTCGCAGAGTCACTTTGTCTTGCTGAAAACCTGATTTTCCATACTGTTACCAGAATCTCTCAGGAGCCAATTAGTCAACCAGTTCAGATAGTTCAGATCAAAAAGTCAGTTTGTCAGTATGCAACAAGAAATAACTCAAGTTTATTTATGTTGCTGATTGTATTTGTTCTCTATTGGCTTATCTAAATGTAAATC